TTTAATATGCATACAATTTTTATAAAAAAAAAATAATAATAAGAATAATAAAAAAATTTAGTTAGCTAAAATAATTTTAATAATTATTATAAAAATATATAACAATTTTAATATGTGAATATTCAGTGTTAATAAAATTAATTGTAAATCAATACTATATTACATATTAGGATTAAAGAAAATAATAATAATGATAATATTTTACTAGGCTTCTAATAAATTGCACATCAAAGTGTGATGTTCCTTAGACCACACTCATATGTACATTTATCATTAACATAATTATTAAGAAAATACATAATCTCACTCTTGGCAGAGTATTGAAGCATGCAAGCTGAACCGTGACATGCTCAGCCCCTTCTCTCTCAAACGCCCACTCGAGCAAACGCAACTCGACGGGGAGTTTGTTGTTTTGTGCCGTGTGGCGTTTATTCTATTACACAAGTTTATTACGACAATCCGCCGTAAGAAACGTGCGCACATCAAGTCAAAAGAAAGCCAAGCAGCAGCAGCAGCGACAGCGACAGCGACAGCGTCAGCTCCTTCTTGGCAGCGAGCAAATTTTGCTATTAGGCAGTCATTAGAGCAGAAGAGCGGGCTGGCAGGCAGGCAGCAGGCGTTTGGCCTGACATACGCTTGGCTTGGCTTGAGGATGATGTTGATGCTGATGATGATGATGATGATGATGCTGATGATGATGAGCACTGCATGCACTTTGACTCTCTCTCGTATGTATGTAGTGTATACCCTATGCAGCTGCTGGTGTGTCGTCCTTCTGGTTGCCGTGTCGAAAGTGTGTAATAAAGCGAAACGCTCCCACAAATTGAGCCACGCTACTTGAACCCTCAATTATGTGGCCATTGCCGGCACAAGCGGGGACCAAGCGACCCACCCACACTCACACACACACACATACACAAACACACCCACATACATGTAGCCTCGCTGACTGCGAGAGCTTTGTGAAATGAGTGCAACATATGTCTGTGTTTGCTTCATGGCTTTTGCTGCCGATTTGCACGCTATAATTGGAGCCAGCTTTGACTCCCAATGCTTTAGCTTTAGCTATGGCTTTGGCCACGGCTACACGGCGCTACTCGTCGCGGTGCTTATCATTGCTCTGTTTGGCAGCTGATTAAATTAAAATAAATCATTTAAAAAAGGCGTCTACTGCGAATGGGGTCACACACAGCGAAAAGAGTGAGTGAGGCAGGAGTGGAGGTGGGGGAATGAGTGGGAGAGGGAGAGACACTTGTGGCAGGTGCAGCTGCAGCAAGATAACCCTTCAAAAGGCAACGCCGCATTCATTTTATGTTAATGTTAATGCGCACGGCGAATTGCAAAAGTGACCTCAGCTGACAGCAAAGGGATTATCCAATGTGCAAACGGACCACGTGCTACAGCTGTCTCGCTCGCTCGCACTGACAGCCAGACCGCCAGACGTCAGCGTCAGATAAAATGTAAAGCGTAAATGCAAATCAAAAATGGCCGACATCGAAAGTCTGGCAACCTGTCGCTTAAGCTTAGGCTGTTTGCTGATAACTGTATTTGCCGTAGTTGTTGTTGCTGTTACCGTTTGACAGTTCGCCCTTCCCTCACCCGCTGGCTGCTTTGTCTGCTGTGTTTGCAACCAATTGGTCCGTTGGCCCTGAAAAATGCCATGGCAAATAATGCGGAGCTGCCAGCCGTTTTTCGTTGTTTGATACTTTAGCCTTTTGCCTCTCAAATTAGGCAATCGAAGCGTATTTCGTGCACCCTGCCCTATTTGTAATGCTTTGAAGTGACTAGCTGCATCCATGGACCACGGCGTGCGTAGGGTGCAAGCGTAAGTGGTGTGAAATCACTTCAACAAAAATCACTTTGTAGCCAGGCTCTGTGCAAACAAAGGCTGATCAGAGTGTGGGAGTGTGGGAGTGTGAGAGAGAGGGAGCGGGAGGGAGACAGACAACCAGACCACGCAAACGAACGAATATGGACACGCAACTGTAGAGAAAAGTCAAAGGATTGGAATTGGGTTTTACGATTGTGCAACAGCTTAGCGTGACAGTGGTGGAAAATTCAACATGAATATGTTAAATAATAATGTTGATTACCATCATTCCACAACTTTATGATTCGTCGTCGTCCATAACTATATAATATTTATAATTTCATAATTTTATTAAAAATGGGTTTCATTCCATCATTCCAACATTTACTTGATCCTTCGAATCCATTCCATCAGTATAATATTTATTGCCACGTCTTGTAAATCCTTCTCGAATTTCGGGGCGCGTCATGTATAGCGTTCATGATCGACTGTGTTCCATTCCACACATTCTCTCCACAATACCATGACGTATCATACTGTATACTTCCATAACTTTTTAATAATTATCATTTTATTAAAGGATGTGTTCCCTTCCATTGCTCCTTAGTTTAATGAGCCGTCAAATAGCAACAATATTTCATGATGGGTCGTATTCCATTTAATTACAACTTGAGTCTAGTACGCGTTTCATTTAATAGTTTCAAGAGACTTTACTGGATTTCTATCCATGTGACATCTTGTGTTCCATTCACACGTCCTAGGAAAGAATTTCGTCTTTCTCTCTTGATTAAATTACACATCACTTGTATATTATATATGTTAATTAATTCATATATAAGCAAATAAAGTTTTACGAGATAAATATAGTTTTGGTGCCACTGTGCGATGTCAAAGAAGACATCACGGATTATCCCAATTATCGTTGGATTCAAGTGAATTTTTGTGTGTCCTGCCTCTATAACTTCCTGTGTAATGTGTTTGCATGTAGGTGTATATGTGTGTGTGTGTGTGTGTTTGTCTGTCTGTTTTAAATTTCGCTTTTGTTCAACTGTCACGTGAAGTTCACAGACAAAACGTGGCAATTGCTTAAAGTGTGCACGACATTTAAGTAACTGCAAATGTGTGAATGTATCTGTGTGTGCGTGTATCTGTGTGTGTAACTGAATTGTTGCCATTGGTTTCACTTTGAGCAGCACATTTACAGTTACAGTTACAGTTGTTGGGCGTGCAAAATGGCAGATTTAAAAGGCAGCAGCTTAACAAATGTTAAGCCCATTGTCTGCCAAGGCGATGCGACTGTGCGTGTGTGTAGGCGTGCGTGAGTGTATATGTGTGTGTGTGTGTGTGCCACACGCGGCGTATGCGCAATCGCTGCTTCGCATTGATTTTCCACGCGGCATTTGTTGCGCCTGCTTTGGGCCCCACTCCACACATATTGAGCCACTGAAGTGGATAATGTTGATAATCATGATGAAGATGCTGCACGACGACGACGATGATGATGATAGCTTTGGCAAAGCCCAAGCAAAACGAAAAATGGCTGCCAAATAGCAGGCAAAAAAAAAACGAAGATTTTTTTGGTTGCACGCGTTGGGAGCAGGAGGAAAACTATACTTGAGAAAAAGTTACAGCAGCAGCAGCAGTAACAGCAGCAACTGTTGTGGTTGTTGTTGTTGTTGTTGCTGTGTAAAACGAAACATAAACAGTAACAGCAGCAGCAACATCAAGTGGAGAGACGACGACGACGACTTTGTTGTTGCTGTTGCCATCGTCGTCGTCGTCGTCGCCGTCGCCGTCGTTGTTGTCGTCGCCGACGTTGTCGTTGTCGTTGTCGTCACCACGCCCCATTATTGCGATTGGTCCTTGCGGCGTGTAGAAAAGAATAAGCATAAGAATTTGCGTGTGAAAAAATGATCGGAATATGAGAGCGAGAGCCATGCGACACCCGACACACTTGCAACACGGCAAAGAGGGGGGCGCTGGCGCGAGACGTAGGTGGCGGGGTCGGGCCGGGGCGGGCGCAGGGCGCAGGGCGCTGCCTTGCTGTTTGCCACACGAAGGCGACGTGTGAAGTACGCGTGCGAATGGCAGCCCGTGGGGCAGGAAGCAGCAACAACAACAACGACGACGACAACGACGGCGACGGCGACGGCGACTCGTACAGGGTGTCATGTGCGCTGCGCAGTGACAGCTGAAGCCAACGTGCGCTAAAAGAAGAAGAAGAAGATGAAAAAAATCACACGCACACACAGAAGAGAAGAAAAGCAACAACAAGGATAACAACAACAACAACGACAAGAAGAAGAAGAAGAAGACAAAAAAAAGTTGTAACTAATAGCAGCGCAGCGAAAGGTGGCAAACGTTGGCATCGATTAAAAATGCTTTTGCCCCCTTTTTGCTAGCCAAAGGACCTTTCGTTTGACGAGGCGACACAATTGTGCAAGTGAGCCAGCAGCATGTCGCCCCTTCCTTCCCTTTTCCTTTGTGCTTCCCCCTGAAGCTAAAAAAAGAGAAAAAATTGTTGTTGTTTATGCGCATCCATTGTTCTGCTTGCCCTGGCTAAAAGTTTTCGAGGTTTTTTCGTGTGCGACTTACCTGGAATTTGCTTTATATTTCTATGTGTGTGTGTGTGTGTGTGTGTATGTATGTATTCTGTTTTTGCTGCACTTCAATTCCATGAAATCTCAAGTATTTACATTTATTTTGTGTAGTGCTCGAGTAGGCGGGCATTGCCATGTTGGGTAGTAGTAGGTCGCGCTGATTGAAGTGCATTGATTGTTGGGCATATGAATTATGGCAACGAGAGGTCGACTTGAGTCGGCTCTGGCATGGGAAGTTGTTGGAGATTCGGTTCCTTGTAAATTCTATTTAAAAATTATCAACTTCTTCAAGTTCGTCTTCTTCTTTGTGGCTCAAAGTTCTCAATTGTATTGATTGCACAGTAGAACGAAATTGGAAGAAATTTTCGATACTTTGTTGGCAGAGAAAGATTTTCCAAAAATTCTAAAAGTTTTGCGTAGTTGCAACTAGTTGGTGCGATTAATACTTTGAGTTAAGCTGAGTAACTTTTTGTATAAAATAAATGGTATTGATGTTACAGTACTTCTGAGACTCAGTATAGCAGATACAGAGATGTGGATTGATAAAATTATAAGCAAAATGTTGAATTAAATTTCGATTTGTTTTGCAGAATTTGGAGAACTTGGAGGAATTAAAAGAAATACAAATTATTTTAATTATTGTTAGAATATATATTGAATAGATGAGTATGTATAATATACTATACATACAGGATATCCATAATGTATAGAATACATTAAATATATGGAATATATACAATCAGACTTAGAAGTTATGAATATTTTATGAAAAAAAAAATAATAAATAAATAAAAAACCCAAATATTATTTATAACGTAAAAAATTTAATAAATTTTTTTTAAATAAATATAAAAAAATAGCCTGATTAATAAAATCTAAACTAAATTAAAAAGAAATTAATTTAATTTAACTAATTTAATTTTATAATTGATTTTATGCTCATATTAAAGATATATGTTTCTGGAGCTATAATATATGCATCTTAATTTAATTTCAAGCATATAGTTCATTTGCTGTACACGCCAAAACTATTCAATAATAATAACATAGATATAAATGTTTTAATTTCATATAGACTGCTGTCAGTTAGAAACT